GAGGCTTTTTTTATTTTATTTTTTTCTGGTGTGAGCTTTATCTACTCTGAAGGTTAAACTTGGAACYTTTTAAATAAAATCCGAGCGCTGTGACAGAGAGGAGACCGTAGAAATGACTCAACCTGAAACTGAAAATGAAGAAAGAGAGCTGCTTCATGGAAGGAAAACCTCTGCTTAGCTTGTTAGCTTTCACGTTAGCATCTGCGCTAATRCAGACATACATATATGTAGCAATGTGGCATTAACGCCCGAGCTAAGTACAGACTTCAGGCTATACATTCATTAATTTTTAAATTGTATTGATAGACCAAGTAAAACTGGAGCCTCAACATTTTAACACTCACACCCTTTACTTTATTTCTGTCCTTCACAGGAACCACYGAGCCATCCTTCTTAGGGAGGAAACATTCAGTGTTCTTTGTTTCTATCTTTAAAAATGATGCCTTTAAAGTAATTAAATGTAAAAGAAAAATACAGTCAGACTTGTGAGCAGCTRAAGCGAGCTCCAGCACTCAGAGATGTTTCACCTCAGGCAGGTAAAAACCAGCCGACACGTCGCCGCGGCAGACTGTGGAGCTGCTTACCTGCCCCCAGAGAAGCTCCCCGACTCCCACGAACAGACACCAGAGCCACTGCTCCATGTTGAGGGGGGCGCAGCTGAAGGGCTTCCCTCCCCACTGCACGATCACAATCTGTGGCAGAAACACACCGGAGAGCATCGTCACCGTCAAAACGTGCAAACACAGCGTGAAGGGAGAGACCAGCGAGGCATCATCCAGAACCATTCTACCCACTGGAGTTGTAAAATTATCACATTATCGCAGTGAGGGTGGGAATGTTGTTTATGTTTAGTGTTTGTGTACATCGTCCTATAGGCATTTAAAACTTTACTCATCTCCACGTGGGCTGATACGTTCAGCAGCCTTGTCACCGTCAACATCTACGCTTCTAAGTTTCGTTAATGATGGGAATTACGGCTCTGAGGAGGCATCCTGATCTGGAGGATGTGTTCGTGTCCTGATCAGGACGTTAGTGATGTCACTACGTACGACGTAAGGGCATGTTTCCCACAGACAACAACTGCTGAGCTCCACCCCCTTGCTTGTTCTTCTTCTTCTTGATCAGAAAAGTGAAGATGAGCCRCGTGTTTGTTTGCAACAGAGGAGAAATAAAATGTAAAAATGAACAGCTCCCAGTTGTTGTCTGTGACATCACAAATGGCKGTGTTTGAACACAGCTCATTTCAAGACACAGAAAAATACTTTTACTTATAGTAAAACATACCTCTGAGTGCATTTTTTTGGTGCTTGGACTGTTTTTAAAAGCATTACAGACAAAAATGTAGGCTAAGTTAAAAAAACTGAAAAAGGTGAACTTTGCATATTAGGTCCCCTTTAAAAGGTCATCTATAAGTCAAAAGTAATAAAAGGCTAGCTAAGAAAAGTTTATCTATAGACTAAAAGTAGCAAAAAGATAGATAAAAGTAGCACATGTTAGCTGTAAGCTAAAAGTAAAAAAGGCTAACTAAAGTAATCCAATGAAGTTCACTGTGTCTATACATCTGATAAATTCTTTTAAACTTTGGGGGAATAAAAGGCTAACTAAAAGAAGCTAAAGGTCAGCTATAGACTAAAAGTATCATGAAGCTAGCTAAAGGTATCAAATCGTTAGCCAGTATCTATTAGCCACAAATGGCTAGCAAAAAGTAACAAACGTTCAGCTAGAAGCTAAAAATAACAAAAGATTAGCCATCAGGTAAAAGTACAAAATTGCTAGCTAAAAGTGTCAAAATGTTAGCTTAAAGCTGAAAGTAGCAAAGCAATAGCTACAATAGCACAGTGCTACCTAAAAGTGGCTAAAGGTGAGCTAGAAGCTAAAAGTAGCATATGAAGTGTTAAACTTCTATTTTTATGCCATTTCATCCAGAATTAAATTAAAACTATCCCCTTACAAGCAGTGAACATCAAGCACCTTGTGTGTAGCCTGTAGCTTCTTTAGCAGCTAAACTGCAAATTAAGGGCGTCCAAAAAAAAAATTAATATGTAAATTAAGAGTACAAAAATTGACTTTGTATGAAACATGGTGGTGAATGTGCCATTTGTTGTTTGACTAACTTCAAACAGTATTTTTAAAATACAAACTCGACCAAAGAAATGCTTTTATTCTGAATGGGGTAAACTGGAAGTATTACAAGTTAGAGCTATAACTCTGGTTTGGATTGACAGATTTGCCAGATGATCCCACCCACTTTCAAATTAAATCAATAGAATCAAACTAACAGGTTTGTGTCTGACCCACCAGTCATCTTAGCTGTTAGTGTTAGCTTCCACRAATTTTTTAAATCTGTTTAGCGAAGCTAAGATTATTATTAAGCAGATTGTTGGTTATTAAACTGAACTATTTTGGTTAGCTGTGGCCACCACYGGAAAGAGCCGTTAAAAAGAATCSGATTGATCGAGAATGCCACATCTCTAGCAGACGAAGTACAATGATGTTGTTTGGTTAAAAAAAACAATGACTATGCCTGAAATTTAAACTCTGTCAGTTTTATATTCCAGCTTTCATCTTTTGTTTTATTCCAGAGTAACACTCAGAGGAGCTTTGAAAAATATTTATTTTTATTCTCTATTTCAGTGTTTCCCAAAGTTGGGGTCGGGACCCAAAGTGGGGTCCCGAAACATCAAGGTGGGGTCCTGAAAAGATTTTCGGAATTAATTACATTTTGCCTTAGTTGTTACAAAGGAGTGAGGTTAGTGTATTTAAAATGGATAAATGTAGTATAAAAATATTGTTACTA